TCTCAATATTGCAGCTTTCTTGAAGGCAGAGGATCTAATTGATCTTTGCATGTACCATGGCATGTTTTGCATACCTTTTGCATGTAGAAGAGTTTGCTGATTCTTTGCTGAATAAATACACATCCCTATATTATTCTCTGATCTCTCTATCTTCATTGAACAATAATCAGGACAATACCTGAGTAGAGTAATTCCTGTAGTTGGTGCTACTCACAAGAATCCCATTAGAATGTGACTCTGATGGGGGTAGATTTCCTGACTTAACACTAGAAAGAACAGTCTTAAATCTGCCACCATAGCCAATGGATTTCCCCTAAAAATGGAGCATGTTAGTGTCTCATTATTTTACAGTCATCTTAACTTCCATGGCAATTGGCTGGAGACCACATTCAATCTTTGAGCATTTTAGTGATAAATTAGGAGTAATTTTTAGAAAAGGAGCAAGTAGCACTCTACAGGGGATATAAATTCCTAGTTGTTTTATTTTTGGACACTTTGAATGATTTTTCTAAATTAAAAGCTCCAAATTTATTAGCAGTCATTGCCTTGGCTTGTGGAAAGAAATCTAAACATGTCAAGCTTCTTTGTGTGCTAATTAAAAGGGCTCATTTTAAATGGAGGAGCTGTCCCAATACCAATGGTAACTAATTAGAATCTTGAAATGTTGAGCCAGAAGGGATTTTATAGATCATTTAATCAATCGTTTTCATTTTGTAGGGGAAGAAATGGACTGGTGAAGCAAATGAAACTTGTCACATATCTAGGTCCAGAGTTATGATTCATACTTACCTGCTCCAGGGTTCTTCAACCCTAAGAAAGTCAGCACTACTGTGGGGAGTTGGAGGATGCTAGAGATTGTTAATATGGATAACACATAGGAAAGTGGGACCATCCTCTATCCTCCAGGAAAAATAAGAGATGGCTTATTCTTAGGAGAGTGTGCCCAGCCAGCAGTACTTGGAGGCTGGTAGGGGAGCATCATGGCATGGTTTGGTTCCCAGGAACAACTGCATGTGGCAAATCGTTATCATGAACCAGGTGTCATGCTCGATACTTAACCATCATGAATTTGTTAAGCCCTACAGCAGGCTTTATGGGATCAGTGTTATTCTTTTCATCTTACTGATGAGAAAATCGGTACCATCAAGTGATTTTAGCAAAGATCAAGACCAAAAACAAGTTAAAATGATAATATACTAAGGTTGATACTAGTACCTGAGTAAGGATTTGCATTAGGTCTTTCAAAACACCACACACCTGTGTTCTTAGTCAGAGATGATATTTGAATAAAAGCCTCTTTGGCCTTTATTGTCTGTTGGCACAGAAAGGGTGGGACAAAGGGTGATCCAGCAGCGATACTCACTAGATATTATGTTGAAAATGAACTGGACAACTTGTGAGTGGGGACAGGAGGGAGAAATTGGGAGAGAGCATAGAAAGGGGTGATACTATTCAAAAAAGAAAAGTATCCATTACCTGACATGTAACTGTAACTCCTCTGTATATCACCTTTACAAAAACAATATATATAGTATAATATATAATTGTATATATTGCATAATATATTTAATGTATCTATATTGTATATTATATGTATTAAAAAAGAAAAAAAGATTCAGGGTGCTCTCCACATATTAAGAAGAAAGAAACAGAGGTCCAGTTTGTGTTTGGTTTCTGCCAGGCTGTTAAGAGTAAAAGCTGAGAGTAAAAGTTTTGCATGATGCCTGAAATAAAACCTAGTTCTTTTTGGCTAGTCCTCTACCCTTACCTCTATGACTATCCTGTGACCCAAAGAGGAAGAAGGAATTGCATAACATGAGGAAGTTGAACCCATTTATATTAGGCACAAAACCAAGATCTGTCTCCTGGATCTAGTTTTAGGACTTCAAACAATCTTAACTGACCTTAACACCTACTTTACGAACTCTGAACTATCACTATGTCCATTTTACAAGAAAGAAGCCATGGGATAGGCATGTTATTCAAGAGACTGAGGACATACATTTAGGCACTGAGGTAAGACTGAGATACAACACTGCTTCTTTGATCAGTTTTAAAAAAAATTATTTTATTTTATTCTATTTTGTCAGTTGTAAAGCTTGAACTTGAGTCCTGAGCACTGTCCCTGAGCTCTTTTTCTCAATTCTACCACTCTACTACTCTGAGCCACAGTGCTACTTCTGGTTTTCTGGTGGTTAATTGGTGAAGAGACTCATGGACTTTCCTGCCTAGGCTGGCTTTGAAACATCATCAGATCCTCAGATCTCACGCTCCTTGGTAGCTAGGATTACAGGCATGAGGCACCAACACCTGGCTTTTATTGTTATTTTGAAGGTGTTAAACAGAGGTGTTACCATTTCATAAGTCAGGAAACGAGTCTATTTCTTTTTTTGCTTTCCCCCAGCTTCCCCTCCCATTCCTGCCCACAAGTTACTAGCTCATTTCCCACAAAGTATATACTAAATAGTGTGATTCCTCTGTTCACCTTCCTCCCTTTCTGTGCTTCCTTTGCCCCTCCCCCATTAAAGATCTCTAAAGCAAAAACAAACACCAGTACCACCACTAACAATAACAACAACAACAATAACCACAACAAAACTCATGTTTCCATTTCCTAGAATTCATTTCAGAAGCTTTTTCTAAACTCCACATCTTTTGGGTTTTGTCACCAAGTGTGATGAAGAGTTTCTCCTCATGGCTCACACAAACAGGTTATTGCTGTGAGCAGCTGGCACTTAAGCATCTGGAAGACCTATTAGATCCCATTTTAGAGTTGTTCCATTCCATGTGAGGATGGACATTAATCCATCAGCTCCTTCCATCAGCAGTTGAGGACTGCTGATGCATCTATGCTGAGCATCTACTCTAGTCTGTCTTGGGCATATGGGGCCAAGCATGTTCTGCACTCGTGCAAAGAGCTACAGGTACTGGTAGGAAAAAGTCAACCATGTGTAAATGCTACAGGAATCCCAACTGAGGACAAGAATGTGCTTGACACTTCTGCTAGAGTTCCTTGTCAGCTAGCTGGATATCTGCTGCTGGTCTTAAGGCTTGCAAATGTATAGCCTGCTGTTATGGTTTGCATATGTCCCTGCTTAGACTCATATGGTAAAGACTTCCATTGCTGCCATCCTATGCTGGTGGTGCTACTGAGAGAAGATTGGATCATGAGGGTTCAGGCTTTATGAATCAATTTGTTCATGAATCCATTCTGAATGGAATCTTAGGGGGTGGGATCTAGTTGGAAGAAGTACTTCATTGGGAGGTGTACCTCTCAAAGGCAAATCTGTTCTGGGACCCTTCTTCTCAGATGCTGTTTCCTGGCTGCCATGAGGAGATCAGCTTTCTTCTATCTTGTTCTTCAATCAGCTATAATTTTTTTTTTGTCATGAAATGAAGAACCATGGACTTAAATCTTTTGCCATCAGCCAAATAAACCTTTCTTCCTTTAAGTTGTATTTCTTAGGTATTTTATGATGGTGATAGCAATCTGATGAACATACCTGCAGAATGCAAACCAAAGTCTGTTACATCATACTTAGACAAGAAGTTTAGAGAGTTCTTTTGCTTATTATAAGGATGAAATTCAACTTGAGCTATCTTAGGTTAAAAGAAGACTCTAATAAGTCATGTGAAGAAATTTCAGAGGAAATTAAGGTAGAGGAGGTCTCAGGGATGAGTGAAGATGACAGATCCCAGGATGGTGCTACAAGCCTTCCTTATATCTTCTTGTGCCTTTGCTTCTTCGAAAAAGTAAAGAGCACGGCTTCCAAAATCTCCCCTACTTCCCTTCCACAGAGAAGATCCTCTTCCTTTGGAAGCTTTCTCTGGAATTCTTCACATTGGAACTGACTGGCTCTACTTGGATCAGGTGTAGGATCCCTTCTCTCTTCCCTATCACACTCATCCAACACATATTTATAAACGTTTATGCAAGAAGCACACACTGGGGATTCAGCAAAGTATTCCCTCCACCCATGCTTCCTGAAAGACCAGAATGGTCGTGAAAGTAGATGGGCCACTCCCATTTCCCAGACATGGTAGGGACAGGGAGTAGAGAGAGATCCTCTAAGGAAGGAGGGGGGGTGGTTTGTAGGAGAATGGAGGGCTGCTGGATAGACAAAAAAAGCCTTCTCAGAAGTAAAACAGTAGCCTTACAGAGTATCAGCTGAAGAAAAGGTCAAAATGGGACTTCACGCTTGACAAAGACACTTTATTATAAAACTAAATAGGAAGCCAAGGGGAGATGAAGTCATCATTAATTTTTATTAGGAACACAGTAGCACTAGCCTCGATTGTCCTGGTAGTGCATGAATTGGCCTTGTGCCAAAGGAATGTTGCAGAGAAACCCAGCAGAAGAAATGAAGCCCAGGGAAGCTGGTTCTAGAAGGTGCTGGGCTCTGCTCTGCTAAACCATCTCTTCAGGCCCTGCTTAAGTCATTTTTTTTTTTTTTAAACCAGAAGCAACTTCAGACCTGAGTGGTTTTTGCTCTCCAGGACACACGATCACGTGTCGCCAGGCAGCAATGACAACCCCCCCAACCCCCATTCACTCCTGGACTTGAATTGTTCTGACAAGTAGTGGCTCCAAAAAAGAAAAAAATGGAATGATCCAACTGAGGGGCAGAGATTCAAACAGAACAGAACAAAAATAAGGCGCACTTTTGAGAGGGAATGATTAGGCCTTACGGATCTGCAAACCAAGGGCCAGGTACCTTCTGCCCCCACCTTCCCCCCCCCCCCCCCATCCTCCCTCCTGCTTTCCCCAACCCCTTACACCAGTGCCCAGCGACGTCCCGGTGGGCGGAGGGAAAGGCCCGTCCCGCCCCGCGGATCCCCGAGAGGGGCCGGGCGCTGATGGAGATCGACAGCTGCAGGTTGCCCAGGGCTCTCCCCGCCCCGTCTACCCGCTCCGGGTCCCCCGCCGGCGGGGGAGGGCGGCGCAGGCAGCTCGGCCGCGGCCCGGGAGTGAGTGCGGGGCGCGGGGCCGCCGCGGCGGGATGGGGCGGCTCCGGGCCCGCGGCCTGGTCCTGCTCGTCGCCTGCCTGGGGCTCTGCGGGGCGCGCGGGGCGCCCGAAGGTACGCGCCCCAACTTCTCCTCCCCGCGCCCTGCCCGGCTGGCCAGGCGCGAGGGCGTTCCCTTGGAGGGGTGGGCGGAGGGCAGGAGGAGGGCGCGGAGTTGGGACCCGGGGAGGCGCTGCGCTGGGCTCGCCCCGCCGCCCCGGACCCCGACCCGGGCACTGCGAAGCCGGGCGGCCTGGGGCCCGGAGCTCGGCCCTGCCACCCGGGCTGGACGCCCCGCCCCGCGCCGCCCCTCCGCCCCGGCCCGTTCCTCCCCGGGCCTGTTCCTCTCCGGGGCGCCATCTGCCCCGGGACTCGCGGTGTAAAGTTGGCCTAGAGTCCCAGGATGACCGCCTGACCCGCTCTGTCCACCCTTCCTTGCCGTCCTCGGTTAGTTGTGCCCCCAGCTCAGCGCTGGCCGGGCTTCCTCGGTGCACGTGGTCCCGAGGCTTTTGGGGGCCCACGTTCTTGGGTGATTGGCCTTGTCCAACTTAAGTCCCTCCATATAGGAGTGTAACATTTCTGGGTCCAGTTAGGTACAAGCTTTCCATTTCTATGGTGTTTTTTTTTTTTTTTTTTAAAGATTACTAAGAACTTACTTGGAAAGTTCATGTGTTTTCATGACTGCATGTTATATGCGTGCATGTGTGCATGCATGCATGTATGTTGATACTGGGGCTTGAACTCAAAGCCAGGGTAACTGCCTTTTAACTATGCCGCTTCCAACTTTTTGGTACTTAATTGGAGATAAGAGTCTTAGGGACTTTTCTTCCCCAGGCTGGATTCGAACTCCTATCCTCAGATCTCAGCCTCCTAAATAGTTAGGATTATAGGCGTTGAGGAGCCGTGCATCTTTGAAATTGAATTCAGTTCAACACAGACTCCCTTTTAGACTGTTAGACAATGCAGTCTAAATCAGACATCATGGACCAGCAGAGGTCCCCTCCCTCCCCGAGGTAGATGAGATTGGTTGGACTTGTGTCCTGTACCTTCCTTATTGTCTTCCTTACTTCTTGAGTCTTCCTCCTTCCCCTCACCTTCCTCTTCCTGTCGGTTCCCAGGGTGGATTGGACAAAGGACTGCAGACTGGGGCTGCTGTGACTGGGGCCTTCTGAGGAAGGTGTGAGCTGCAGGCCGGGGAGATCCAGGAGGACAGCGGGTGGGCTGATGGGATGATGATGGGTGGGAAGACAGTAATGGTTAGAGAAGGGTGAAGGAAGCCTAGGGCCGGGAGACAGATGGACTCGTGCTCAGGGCTCTGTGCTCTGTCACATTGTCAGAGGGTCTTTGCGTAAATGACTTTGCTGGGTCTTGACTTTGCTCCTGTAAAATCGACATGTAATAACTTCTTCAGAAAGACTTGGCAAAAATCCAATGTATGACTGTCTTAGTAGCCGCGAACATTCAGTAAGCGCTTGTTTTCCATCCTTCTCTGCTCATGATCCACCATTTCTCCCCTCCCTGGCAATGGGTTAGACATCCCTTTAAGGGTAAAGAATGAGGATTAAGGAGCTTTGTTGAATATAGAACACAACACACTTCCACATATATGTTTGCCTTGGCAGTGATTGCATGATGATATTTTTCTGTTCTTCCTCCTTGGCTCTGGTTGTGTATGACCAATGTTGTGTACTAAAGTCTTACCAAACATCTACTTGGGGGCAGTTAAAATAATGTTTTCTTGAGTAGCTTAGGTGATCTCTGCTATCAGTTCTTGAAAGAAACAGGCTAATATGTGATCAGCTTTGTAGGTACCGTGGTAGAAAGCTATCTTTGTCTAGCAAAAGATATCGCCTCTGTTAAAATATCATTAGCATATTTGTCTTGTATAATTCTGTTTGTAAATCAGTAGAACTGTCACTTATTACTTCCTCAAGATAAGCACACATAGCACTGGGGCACATTACCAGTAACTCTGTATTCCAATATTTCTACTTAATATTGGTAAGTTTGACTACCGTCTTATTAGATCTCTTTAGTACTTTATTGCTCTTGCCTTCTAACAATGGATTGACTGGAAGCTTGTCTAGAAAAGAAATGCCAACACTGGAAAGGGATTTCACAGATATAACTGTATTTGGACTTTTGATGTGCACCGATTATCCTGAACAACCTGAGTGGCAGGAAACCTTAATTGCAAAATATTTTATAGCAGGTAGACAGGAGGACCAGGGTTAGAGAAGGAGATGTGACCAGGGAAGCAGAGGTCAGAGTGATGTGATTGCTGGCTGAGGTGTTATGGGAGAAGCCAAGAAATGGAGGTAGTCCCCAGGATCTGAAAAAGGCAAGGAAAGATCTCCCCCAGGGCCTCTATAAGAAGGCAGGCCTGTAACACCTTGGGTTTAGTTCAATGAGACCTACTTCAGACTTCTGACCTCCAGAGCTTGGAATATCGCCCATTTATGTTGTTTTAACCTATTAAATGAGTGGTAAGTTGTTATAGCAGCAAGAGGAAACATACAATAAATGATAACATAGGTGCCATCAGAGAGGAATGAGGGGCTGGAAGCATTGACAACTCTGAGCAGGAAGCTTTAGGGAAGGCTTGTTCCTGTCAGCCTGGCTATAGAACTGGCCAGCCTGGCTCCAACTGGAGCCTGAAAACTTTCTAACTGGTGGGGGAGCAATTGCAAGAAAACACACAGAATGCTACATGTGGAGAACAGGTTCCACATCCACCCTCCACAAGCATCCTGGGCAGTACAAGCTTGGTGGCAACTGAAGGAGCTTGTCAGCCCATTCAGGGCAGGCTGGGTAGAAACCTTACAATTCCAGAGGATGTTTATTGCTTCAGAGACCCCAAGGATGGTGCCCCCCTCGACACAAGAATCTTCCATTGGTAAGTGAGGAAAGGAGCAGAAATTTTTTCTTTGTAGCCTGACATCTTAGCCCAGAGCAATGGGCATCGGGAGATGGATGGAGAGTTGAGAGCAAGAAGGCAGATGGTATAGATTCCCTGGCTTTACCGGGCTGTCCACAATCTGCATCTTCAGGGTAGGCTCAAGCCTACTACTCTCTTCTCTCTGCCCTCTTCCAACAGTGTAGCAACTCAACATAAGGGTGTGCTGTTAGTGCTATCTTTGCTTCTGTTCCCTGAGCATCTGGTCAACCACCAGCCCTGCACAATAAAGCAAATATTTCTTAGTTCTTTGACTTTCTATTCTACTTCAGTTTAATAGACCTGAGTTTTGTGGCAGAGACTTTTACAATTGTCCCTGATGGGAAGAAATTCCCACAAATAAAGAGATTGGATCTCTGAGAGTCTATTGGATGTTTGTGCTGTTATTTCTTACTTATAAAGTGAACTATCTCATAGAAATATTCAGCATCTGTTTGACAAGCATATGATGAGATTACAGGGTGTATAGATTTGTAAAGCAAAATGTGGCTTGCTTTCATAAGTGATGTTATTAATCTTAAATTATACAGAATGAGTTAGGACTATTTTTTTAATCAGGACCTCCTCTTAGAACTATATCTTTGGACTTTATACACAGCACAGAGCTTTGTTTTGTTTGTTTCTTATTTTGTGACATCTGTAGAATATATTCCATGCACTAAAAGGCACAATATAGAATTATCAGAAATTTTGAACAATAAGAAGTTAATTGAAATTTTCAGTGGAAGCAAACATTTCTGACATCATACTTTCCTAATTTGTTTCCATCCTACTCACGTTTTCCTTACACAGCCACCTTTCTGAAACATATACTGATCATTCTCTCCAATTGAAGGACATTTAATACTTCTCTGTTAGCCAGGTGCCGGTTGCTCACACCTGTAATCCTAGCTACTCAGGAGGCTGAGATCTGAGGATTGCGTTCAAAGCCAGCCCGGGCAGGAAAGTCCGTGAAACTCTTATCTCCAATAAACCACTAGAAAACTGGAAGTGGCGCTGTGGCTCAAGCGGTAGAGCACTTGCCTTGAGCTGAAGAGCTGAGGGACAGTGCTCAGGCCCAGAATTCAAGCCCCACAACCGACAAAAAACCAAACCAAAACAAAACAAAGTCTCTGTTGTCTACAGAATAATGTTCAACTTCTTAACATAGTTCATAAGTCACTCCCTCCCCACCCCATGAGCCTCTGCCCAGGGGAATCCAGTTGGTAAATTATTCATCTGCTCCCCCAAATTTCATTGACACTTTTTTTTGGTCATATATGCATCAACACAAGACAAAAGACAATCAAAACATTCTTCTCAGGTTCTCTTTCTCCATAAAGTAGTATTGGAACAGCAGCAAATATCCTAGGCCATTGGTCCAACTGTGATGGGAGAGGAACCAACACACATATAGCATGGAGGGTTGTGTTCAGGAGAGACGAAGCAAGTGCTGCCTTTGGTTCAGGTATTGGCATGATTCTACACATAGGTAACTATGCTTGGGTTCCTTGTACAAGTGTCCTGGACTTTCAGCATGCTTGTCTTGAAGACACACTCCCCTCCTCTCCAATGTGCTCAGATGCATGTCACCAAGTAGGCTTAGTGCTAGAGTTCTAGCTGCTCTGCTCAGTCACATTAAGTCTGTGAGACTGGGAGCCCTACCTAATGTGGTAGAATGTGTAGTGGCTCCTAGAGAAAGATATGAAAGGGTTTCTTACTACTAGAGCAATATTCTTTCAAACAAAAGTTCCCCCTCACCCCCGACCAAGTGCTAGAGTTTGAACCTAGGGCCTCACACATGTAATCTACCACTTGAGTAATGCCTCTGCTCAACTTTTTACTGGTTATTTCAGAGATGGAGTCTTGCAGACTTTTTTTGCTCAGGCTGGCTTTGAACCATGATCCTCTGGATCTCAGCCTCTTGACTGGCTAGGATTATAGATATAAGCCATTGATGACTGGCAACTCATCCTTTCTTAAGATAGTGCCCAGCCAGTACAACCTGGGCTCTGGGATTTTGTGAGGAGACAATGTCAATTCCTTTTTCAAAGCCAAGCTACTGTGTAGATTCTAAGTTGGTCCCCTAACTTGGCTGCAAGCTTTGTGAGACCTCCTCTTCCTCCTCTTCCCCTTCCTCTTCCTCCTGCTCTTTTTTCTTCTCCTCTTCCTTCTTTTTGTCGGTCATGGGACTTGAACTCAGCTTGGGTGAGCTTCTATGCTCAAGTCTAGCACTGTCTATCACTTAGAGCCACAGTGCCACTTCTGGTTTTCTGGTGGTTAATTGAAGATAAGAGTCTGATAGACTTTTCTGTCCTGGCTGGCTTCAAACTGTGATCCTCAGGTCTCATCCTCCTGAGTAGCTAGGATTACAGGCATGGACCACCAGTGCACAGTTCTGTGAAACTTTCTAATAACTAAAGTTGACAGCTATCAGTTCTGATGGAGTTGATAAACTCTACAATACACATATTCATCTGCAAAATGGAGTCCTTCTTTCTGCAACTAGAGAACCCGGATAGTGGTTGAGGGTTCTGAAGAAGAAATGACCCTTCAGAGATGTCCTAAGTTGAATGAGAGAGCACTGAGCCTTTAGACATCCATGTTAGATCTGTGAGTCATCTCAGAAGCCAGCACGGCCTTGGACAACATTGCCTTCTTCAGCAGCTCAGAGTAGAAGAGGGGATGATGCTAATGTAAAGTGAAATAATTGTGCATAGTAAATTTACTAACTCGTGCTTTTTATTCCCCATAGCATCTTTTTATGGTGAGAGCTACGTGGAGCTCCACATCGTAGAAGTTTCCTCTGAGCTATCTCTTCAATTAAAGTTTCAAACCAGCAAGCCACGGGGGTTACTTTTCCTTGCAGCTGGGAAAAATGACTATTGCATAATAGAAGTTGTATCAGGAACTGTACAGGTATGATTTTTCAAAAATCCTCAAGATAAACAGGCATTCATATATTAAGAGAGATAAGTGATAAATAGAAAAATCAGCTGTACAAATTTATTACTATTTTCTCGCTGGCATACTGTGATATGCTATTTGTAACAGATGGAATCTTTCTCCATTTTTGCCACCATGGCTTAAATAAATAAATAAATAAATTTTGTGTTGGTCTTGGGGCTTGAACTCAGGGCCTGGGTACTATTCTTGAGTTTCATTTTGCTCAAGGTTAGTGCTTCCAGCTTGTTCTGAATAGTTTATTGGAGATAAGAGTCTCATAAAATTTTCTGCCTGGGCTATCTTTGAATAGCAATCTTTAGATCCTGAAGAGCTAGCCATGAGCCAGCTGGTGAGCACCTGACTACGTCTTAAATATTTTGACTTTAAAGTTTTCTTACTTCCATATGTAGTTTATAAGTGTAGAAAAAAGTCTTTTTGTCCAACCTCAACGATCCATTTCCTCTATTTTTCTGTTGCTGTAACAAAATAATTGAGGCCGGGTAATTAACAAAAGAAAGACATATGTTTTGACTCATGGTTCTGAGGTCTAAGCTGGAATCTGCTTGGCTTTTAGTGAGGGCTTTGTGGTAGAAGGAAGCAATTGGTGAGGGGGGGGGCAAGGAAGCAACTTTGTTTTATAACGTGATATGACTAATCGACTCCCACAAGAGAACTCAGCTGGTGCTGGGGACTCACACCTGTAATTCTAGCTATTCAGCAGTCTGAGATCTGAGAATCATGGTTCAGAGCCTTCCAGGGCAGGAAAGTCCATGAGACTCTTATTTTCAATTACTTACCCCAAAACCTGGAAATGGAGCTGAAGCTCAAGTGGTAGAGCTCTAGACGTGAGCAAAAATGCTTAAGGACAGCTCTAGGATCTGAGTTCAAGTCCCCACTCCCCATCTCCTCCCTCTTCCCCAAAAAAAGAGATAAGAAAAAAAGAGAACTCATTCTCATGAATGAAAAACACGAATCTCTTTAACAACCTAATCATTTCTTTGAGACCTCAACACTTCTCAACACTGCTGCAATGCAGAATAAGAGTGAACATTAGTTTTGGTGGCTACAAAGTGTAGTGGTTTTATTTTCTCACCTGCACACTATGAAATGAAGACCTTGAGGAGATTTATTAATTGTAATTCATTTCTCTTTCAGGTGAGAGTGAATTGGGACACAGGTGAACAAGCACTCCTTTCTGAGCAAAGACTTCGTGTGGACAACTTGGCTTGGCATTTGGTGGAATTGTACTGTGTTCAGGATAATATTTTCTTGGTTATTGACAAATATTATGAGACAACTGGCCAAATAGTTGGTGGGATACATAATTTCAACTTTCACCATGGAGTCTATGTTGGAGGCCGCCATGGGGGACTCCATGTCCCTTACCTAGATGGAAAGATCCCCAACTTCCGTGGATGTATGCAGGATGTGATGTTGAACCAGAGGGAGATTCTGATGTCCCTTAGATCGTACCCTGGTTTTAAGAAGATCCACGAGGTTTCTCTGGGATGCAGCGATGAGTTTTTTGCTGGGGAGGATGAGGCCATCAATTTCTTTAGCTCTAGATCCTATGTCGCCTTTCCAGAATGGAAGGTACATGGAGAAGGGCTATTAGGATTTGCTTTGCGAACTGGAATTCAGCAAGCCTTACTTTTATTTCAGTCAGGTAGAGAAGAAAGTTTCGTTGCCTTGGAAATACATGAAGGTCGGTTGAAAGCTCATGTAGGAAGGAGTAAAAATAAATCTCAGCTTTCTTCTCATAGCTTAGTTAGTGACAACAAGTGGCATGTTATTCAACTCAAATTCACGGGGAGGTATCTACACCTTATGGTAGATAAAGAAAGAGTGAGGGCGCTGCTGGCTTCACAAAGCGTACCATTTGTATCTGATGGCCCTCTGTTTGTGGGAGGTCTCCTTGACCAAATGTGGGAGCAGGTGAAGAGGTTAGAGCTGGCCTCTGTGAAGTCTGCTCGAAGAATAATCTCTTTGAAAGGGTGCTTACGAAGCCTGGAAGCCAATTCAGAAAAGAGAGCACTAAGGGATGCTCTTGTTTCCAAAGACATTTCTACTGGATGCAAAGCGGAGGCTGTCAACAATGCAAATCTTTCTTGGACTACAGCAACAAGCCTGCTTCCATCAGAATTATCCCATTCCACTTCAGTCCCCCGAGCCATCAAGCCTTTACTTCCACAGAAAAGTAGCTACGTTTTGATTTTGAATAACTTGGAGGTCCAAGAAGGTGGACGAGCCTTACTAGAAGAAAAGCATATGATGATGAATGTGAAACTTAATTTGAGTATCAATTATTCTCAAATACTATTTAAAATAGAGGACATGCCTACTCATGGGCTTCTTCAATTAGATGTTTCACCTCAGCAAGAAATGGAAAAAGTTTTCACTATGTTAGATTTGTGGCAAGGGAAAGTGTGGTACATACATGATGGTTCAGAAGGTCCTACAGATTATTTCACATTTTTTATCTATTCCAGCACCAAGCAGGAAATACCATTATATCAGCAGGACTGTGTTCCACACGTGTTTAACATTATTGTCATTCCAGTGAATGACCCCCCGCATCTTCAACTCCCAGAAGGTAACTTGTTTCTCCTGTTTGAGAACTCTAAAAAGCAACTGACGCCAAATATAATCCAGGTGTCAGACCCGGACACTGATTCTTTGAGTCTTAGTTTCTCAGTTCTTGGCAACTTCAATGCAGAGGCTGGGTATTTAGAAAATGCCAATGATCCTGGGGAAATCATTCATGGATTTACCTATTTGGATTTAAAAAATGGCCGTGTGTTCTATGTGCACAGGGGTCATCAAAACGCTCGGATTGTTCTGAGAGCCAGTGATGGTGAGCTAGTTAGCAATATCGGAGTATTACGAGTCATGGCTGTTCCATGGGATTTTGAAGTGGCCCACAGAACTGGTGTGGCTGTTCTACAGGGTGGCACTGTTCTGATTACCCAGGGTAATTTGTCTGTGGAGGTGAATGGGGAGCAGCATGAGATGGAGACTCGTTACATTATTACTCATCAACCTCAATTTGGCCAGATTGAGTATCAGGGGTCAAATGGAGAATGGAAACAAGTTAATACCTTTTCTCAGCACTCCATTGACCAGAGTCAGGTCAGGTATCATAGTACGTTCAAAGATCTGCAGCAAGAAAACATTACAGATCACTTTAAGTTTAAAGTTCATGTAGAAGGAAAAATGAGCAAAGAGCTCATGTTTCCTGTGACTATACAATGGTTGAAGTTCACACTTCTGAAGAATGTGCCTCTAGAGATCAGGAATACACAGAAACAAGTATTAAATGCTGATCATTTGCAGGCTGCAACAGAAGGTGTGGATGTAGCCGAGAGGGAATTACATTTTAAGTTGCTGACCCCACCTAAGAAAGGAAACTTGCTACTTGGCAGGGAAGTTCTTAAAAGAAACTCCATCTTCAGCCAGCAAAATATTACAGACTCTAAGATAAGTTATGAACCTCAGGAGAGGCCGAGAGAAGACTCACAGGACAGTTTCAGGTTTTTGATTCTTGCCGAACACATAGAATCAAAAGAGTATACTTTTGAGATAAATTTCAAGGCAAATAAGTCACACATTACTTTAACAAACAAAAAACTATTTGTAAAAGAGGGAGAAAGGAAACTAATTACAAAATCAGAATTGTTTGCTCAAACCTGGGACAATCAGAGTTTCCAATATCAAGTCACCCAGAATCCTCAACATGGAAGGCTGACATTGATGAACTTTCTTGAGTCTCTGGAAAGTCTGGACAATATTACTACATTCACTGATCAAGACATCTTGGGCGGACGACTCATGTATATTCATGATGACTCTGAGACACGGTGTGATGAATTCTTTCTGGTGGCCTCTGCCGAACGTCCAGGCCAAGAGGGCGTGGCTGGGGATCTTGACCCAGAGCCCTTGTCTACAGAAATCAAAGTCAGAATTTCTGTGGAGTTGAAGAATGATGAGAGGCCAGTGCGTGTAGTGGATAAGGTATTTCATGTTGTGCGGGGCAGCCAGCGCTTACTGACCCTGGGCGATCTCTGTTACCATGACCCTGACGTAGATTTCGATGATGGACAGCTGCTGTACATTCGACGAGGCATTCCCAATGGGGACTTGGTCCGAGCCAGCCACCCCATGCAAAAGCTCTACCAGTTCCGGCAGGAGGACCTGCAGGAAGGGCGAGTGCTCTTCAAGCACCAAGGGGCTGACTCTGCCCGCTTTGTGCTGTTTGTGACAGATGGTGTCCATTACACACCATCCCTTCTTGAGGTCAGTGTGTCAGAGCCCTATGTCCGCGTAGCCAGCAACACAGGGCTGCTGGTACAGAGGGGAAAAGTCAGTTATATCACCACAGCAAACCTGAGTGTCACCACAAATCAAGATGTGCGAACAGATCTGGAGGTAGAGTTTCATGTCGTGGGGCCTCCAAAGCATGGCAGAGTCCTGGTCAACGATTCTGTATCCTACTTGTTTTCCCAACGTGACCTGAAGCAGAGATGTGTGATGTATAAGCACGATGGTGGTGGCAACGTTGACATATTCAACCTGTCAGTGAGAGTTAAAGATATAGACTTGGAAGTGGGGATCCACGTGTCTTTGGAAGATCATCAGCAGCTAGCTCAGATTCTGCACAGCAAGACCTTTGTAGTTGAAGAAGGAAAATCTATCAAATTGAGCTTTCAGGTAGGTGTTAAGCTAAGATTGAGCATTCTTATCTCTTAGAACCACAGCGGCCAATACTCCATTTATTTGCTTCTGAAATGTATTTTTGTGTCTATTGTATATGTCTATGTAGGAGTATTTATTTTTTAAAGTTCTCTTCTGGCGTTAGGAGCAAAGGTCCACCATTGAGAAGAAAAGTTGGAAGGCTTCATGAGTTTGGTGCTATCAATTTTCCTATAATTAAAAATGAGTTCATATATGCATTTGGGTGTTTGGTGTGCACGTGTGTGCATGTATGTATGTTTAATGTAAGGAACAATACTATTATGGCAAATTAAGAGATTTTTATTTTGATTTATTATTAATAGCAGCACTTCTAGTCAAACGTGTTATTTCTCACTAATTTCAGTTGATTTGATTTATATTCACGGTGAGAGGCAGCAATTTAACAAACATATAAAGATACCTATAATAGCAGAGGATACTATTATAGTTTGTTTCCTAAGTTTTGACAGTGGTTTTGTTTAGTTTCTTGAAGCTGATGGATGAAATTAGCCTAGAACAGTGGTATACCAGGGATGGGATCAGAGCTACCTAGTTTCCTCAGGTACTTACCTGAAAACTTGGTGTAGACACAGCCTTGTGGGTCAGGGTGTTCTTTTTTGGGTAATTCTGTGTAGGGTCAAGGGTGAGTAAGTTGATTGATGATAGCTGGCCATAAAAAGCAAACTATTCTCAATCTACCTTCAGGACTACAAACAAGATTACTAACTTCAACAACTATTACCAAATAGAAAAGAATCCCAATCAGAATCTTAAGATAGTTCCTGTGTATGTTTTGCCACTAGGGGGCATATGCATTCTAGTGGCTGCAAAGCAGTTGTAATCACATTTTGAGATGGATTTTGCTGAATCCGTAAATTAAAACTGTATGGAAAGTGCTGATCTACCTAAAATGGAGAAGAAAAAATTTTCCTCTGTGTCTTTAGAATGTTAGTGATTCAACTTCCATTTCCCCCTATATTCTGTTGTTTTTCTTAGAACATTTTATTTCCTTCACCAAAATTTTCTGAGAGCTGAGTTTTTGCTGCTCTGTGTCATTGCTTGTTATTGCATTTTGTAGCTACTAAAGTGTTGTGGCCCATTGTTTTTCTTTCTTTGTGATCAGGGCTGATATTTAAAGTACTGACATAGACACCAGATCAGAACTAGGCTTCTAATCGTAATCTAAGGCATTGTGGACATTGATAGAAAACAATTTAGTTTATCATATTGTTGACTCTTATATTTTCTAATATGTTTTTCTTTGTGTGTATGAACTCAAGGCTGGGAACAAAGACAATCTTCCTTCAGAACTAGTGTTCATAGTCAGAACTCCACCTATGTTTGGATATCTCCAGAAATCTACACAAGAAGGCAACGACATGGGTACAGATGCAAAATTCCTTTTGAGTTTTACCCAACAGGACATGGATGATGGCATTATCCTTTATGTACAGACAGATCCTGGCCAACAACAGGATCACATTTTTCTGGATGTGACTGCTGGTCCCCATGTGTTAAGTGAAGTAGAAATCCTGTTGGACATCATCCCCAAGTGGATTCCCCTGGAGGTACAGAACTTTACAGTTCTAGAAGGTGGATCCAGGGCACTTCTGAAAGACTACCTCAAAATTCCTGGCAAATACTTTGAGACAGTTGACTGTGAATTTGTTCTACTTGAACCACCAAGACATGGAAATGTCGAAAGTTCTAATTTTCCAAGAGAGAAGTTAATGAAATTTACCAGGAAACAGGTAATTAATCTCAGTGAATGCATTTGGCAATGTTACAACTGAGGAAACACATTGAGTATCATTTAGGCTTTAGACGTGATGGGATCTTGAAGGTTATTTGGTCCAATCCCATCAAATACTAGAAGCCTTTCTCTAGCATCCTTATTGAGAAGGTATCCAACCATTACTTAAACATCTTCAGTGATGCTTATTCTTTAGGCTGATATAGTATTTGGTATTGGAAATCTCCCCTAGACCCTGGCTGTAGTAGACCACAGAATAAATCATACTTCTCTTCATGAAAGCTTTTTCAATATTTGAAAGAAAACATCATCCAATTTCCCCGAATTTTGTGTTCTATAGATGACACTCTTCTAGTCTTCTAACTTTTGCAGATTTACCATGAGTTTACTGGACCACCCTGACTACTCAGTTCTTTATAAGTACCATATTACCACACCCAATATTTTGCTATTTGGGGAATTTTAACTCATTTGTTTCCTCATTCAGATGCTTATAAAGTACATAGTCCGTCAGGCCCTGTGTCTGGCATATCAGTGTTCAGTATCAGTGTTGAAAGTGGCTGAGTTCTTGCAATCAATGAACTGGATTCAACTTCTGATCTGAGGTCCAGTCAGCTTAAATTAACCAAGATTGATTCTAGCATGCTATCAGGCTTATTAATTGTGAGACAGACTAGTATTGTTGTTGGATTTTACTTTCTTTTTCTGTTACTTCCTTTAAAAATTTTGAGAAGTAGTTTGTAGTTCTCCACCATAAACCTCTAGCAATACATGCTGTGTTGGTACTGGGGCTTGAACTCAGGGTCTGGGAGCTGTCCTTTAGCTTTTTTTTTGCTAAATGCTAGCATTCTATAACTTGAGACATACTGCTAGTTCCAGCTTTTTGCTGGTTACTTGGAGACAAGAATCTCATGAATTTTTCCTGTCCAGGCTAGCTTCAAACTGTGATCCTCAGGTCTCAGCCTCCTGAATAGTTAGGAATACAGGCATGGGCCACTGGTGCTCAGAAAGACCAAAACTTTATAACATGTCACAGTTTCCTACAAATTTGTTGTGTTCTTTAATTTCAGGTCAGCAGACCCATCTCCAATGCATTGGCCTTCAGATTAATATTAAGTGATACGTAATTTTGGAACATTTCCTTTAATTGCTGAAATGATGTTTTTCTCCAGGAAGGTTAACCTAGAGATGATTGCTAATTAAACACTATTGCTTTTAAAGTGTTTTTCATTTAAATCTTTTCTCATATTTTGATCAGTGCCACTTTCCATGTTTGTTTTCAAATAGCTTCAGATAGTGCGCAGGCCTATACTGTGGAATTTCTCTGTCCATGAATTCCAAAGAATTTCTTGTAGCATCTGTGTTTGGATGGCCACAAACTTCCTTTGAGAACCTAACTGAACTTTTCAACCTTTGTTAGAATCATCTCTGAGCTATCAAAAAACTACTCTAAGAAAATGTGTCACTGGAATCATCAAAGTTGAGCTGCTAAAAATTTTGGCTGTATTTTATTAATACAAACACAATCCCAAGAGGCTTTTTTTTTTTTTTGACACAAACACAGTAGGTTTTTTTATTGTTAAATTACTAGGGTACCATATGCAGAGCTAAAAGTAAAAGGATTGATCTATTTGTGCACTCACATTTTCAAGTCCAAGAGGCTTTTTCCTGAAGTTTAGTAACTCCTTTTGGGATTTGGGAGTTCTTTGCTATTATATGTTTGGATCACCTATTCACTCAAACTAAGTTCCCCCTCTCACTTTAAAATTCTGTTGCTCTGATTTTGGTTCTGTTCTCTTTTGTTTTTGTACCAGGGTCTTAGAGTCATGAAAGGCATTCTGATCAACATTGTCATTGTTACAGTGCAAGAGAAATAACTAAGTCATTGGATGACTATTTCAAATCAAAATTAAAATGATGATATCTCACAGGGATAAAAATATTTGCATCTGAATTGTTATAGTTAGGGAGAGCTGCTTTGATAGAATGATTTGATCTCAAAGTATTTGAAGGTCAGTTTGTCCATAGGAGATTCATGGTAGCTAGTCATGAATATCATCCCTTATGAGATGCATGAATCTCCCAACCACATATATGCCAAAGGAAAAGGAGCAGGATTAGGAGGCAGAAGATAATTACCTAATATATGACAGGTATATATTCTTACTTAGAAAAAATACTGAAGGGAACTTAATAGTTTCCCTGGTTATTATGTCTTAAAGGAGAGAAGTTTCAAAGCTTAGCTCTAACCACTGACAATTCAGGTTGTCCAACAAAGCAATCAGCAACTTCAAAAATTATTCATGTGAAATAATCAAGGAGAGCACAATCTACATTGTGGCATTCCATTGATGAGAAGGCTTAATTCTGTTAGTGCATCATGCTTTGGAGTTAGGAATGGCATTTGAACCCAACTCTTCAACATTCTCTTCACTACACACAAAGTTCAATCATTCGTTAGCTCCTTACATTCACTTGCTAGATGTAGTGTTATTTCAGAAAATGTATACTATCCATCACAATTCACTCTCTGATTATCAGACTCAGACTGCACTGGATGAGGACATGCTTTCGCATTTTCAAGAGATTCTTAAAGTGAGGATTTCTTTTATAGTAATTTATCAAAATGTAGACGCTCATTTTATCAAGTTGATGATTTTTGTTGTTGTTGGTTTTAGGTGGAAAAAGAATTGATTTATTATGTTCATGATGATAGTGAGGAGCTTCTGGACAATTTCACCATCTTTGCAAATAGCTCAGCACTTAGGAAACAGAGTATACCTCAAACTATCTTTGTGACTGTTGAATCTGTAAATGATGAAGCTCCAGTAATAACAGCCAATAAAGTCCTCCAGGTAAATAATGCATGTTTTAGACTTCACAAGAGAACCTTGGGGTATTGTTTAGATACAAAATGTACATGTGTATGTAGTTGACAGATTCCCTCTGGCTTAAATTTACATTACTTTTTTACCAGTACCTATTGGGTACCTGTTGGGAGATGATGAAGAATCCCATTGGTTTTCTCCTTGTTGTATTTGTCAAGTGGGAAGCAATCACATTGTCCTCAATGAAGCATGGGATTTTCAAGGTGGGTGAGGAAGGTGTCTATATGGGTCATTGATCACCAGGCAGATGGCATGATGGGTAAGAGAGCAGGTTTGTGGTAATCAGATCTGGGTGAGAGTCCCTCCCTGCTTCCTACTTTCAGACATGCAACCTCGACCAAGTTATTTACCTCCTAAATTTGCTTTTGTTTGGGTTGAAAGGAAGCAGGAGGAGGCAGAGTTGTGAGGAGTAAATGTTAAGATGATGTAAGGCTCTCACATATCCTTATATATAGGTAGTGCTCAATGAATTTAAAAAATAGGACACACCATTTTGGGGGTAAAATAAGGCTATCACACAAGGGTATGATGGTAAATTGTTAGACTGGGAGCTTCAATCCCTCTTCACTGTGGGAATCCCTCAAAGTTAGTTTCAGGTGTCTACAGATGCAAGTCTCTGGGTCTAGAGTTCACTTGAGGTAGTATCTGCTAAGTGGTTTCTGCTGTCAGCACTAAGAGGCGATTGAGCCCACCAGCCCTCCAGCAGTGGTTCTGGTGAACGCATGTGTTGTAGTTTACACTCAAGCAAGCCAAAGCTTTCATTCAATACATTTTCTTGGTTTTAACTTATACTTTCTTTATGTCCCATTTTCTAAAAAATTGGGCATGAACAAATCTAGCTTGGAGAACAATGATAACAATTATAATAGTAAATGTCTACCAAAAAATACTAGCTATCAGTCCATGGCAGAAGCTACTGTTATTATGCTGTAAGGGCTTATTCGATGAGGTCACCATCACGGTTAAATGCCAGGCTCAGGATAGAAGAACAGCACAGACTGGTGACTTACTTATATATGCTTCTTTTATCCGTGCCTATGCAGAGGTAAAGGAAATATTTGTTGAAGGAATGAATAAATGAAAGTATAAACTGTCAATTTCCCCAACACTGTTCATGTTTTTCTAAACAAGGCTTTTGCCTCGATTCTTTCTTCCTTTGTTGTGGCTGTGTTTCTGGGAGAATCTCTAGCCTTCTACATGCAGAGCCTCTAGTAGATTTATTTACCCATCCGGCATCTAGACATGGGAATCTGAATGTGTTTACCTTGCAATCTGATTAAGAGAAATAGTCCTACATGTTTTTAGCCTTGTTTATACCACTTAGAAGGGAAAAGAGTAAACAAAAGATTCTGTGGAAGTTGAAACAAAGCTGGGTGGTCAGAGCAGAAAATGCAGGGCTGAGGTTCCATCTGGTGATGGCACTTGTCCTTGGGTAGGAAGAACTTGAAAATATAGAGAGGAATTTCTTTTGTTGTCATATTGACTGGGACTGGAAGATGCTACTGGATTTAATGCCAAAGGACCAAGAGTGCTTTAATATCTTATACTATGTTGTTAAGTTCTATAAGAAATGCTCCACTCAGATTGGCAATAACATCCTGTTAAGAAACACTCCAGGTCAAGAACATGCAATTATGATCCATGGGTCTAACCAGGCTAACTTTCTGCTTATGTATATGGTCTACCAGTTCAGAATGATTTTTTAGTGCTGGTCTTGGGGCTTGAACTCAGGGTCTGGGTGCTGTCTCTGAGTTTTTTTGCTCAAGGTTAGCACTCTACCACTTGAGCCACAGCTTCACACACACACACACACACACACATACACACAAACTGAGCTAGGCTAAAAGTTTATGTAAGGGACATATGAAAACAAATAATTGTAGAAATGTGATCTTCCTGTGCCATCAGGAAGGTGAGTACTGGGAGACTCATATGAGGGCTGAGCTGATCCCCGGCAAACTTTTCTGCATAGCTGATGGAGGTGGCATGTGTCTGCTGCCTGCTCTAGGTTTGTTCTAAGAACAGCATGCAGCAATCTGGTATTATTCACATAACCCTGAGACTCAGTTCTGTCTCAGGCTGAGTTGTACGGCAGAGACCAGGCACTACAGGAGAGTCCTTCCTGATTCCTGGTTAATGAACTTGATAGGTTCTTTGTGCTTCCTTTTTAGCTGCTTCTCAGTCCACATTCCCCCTATCCCCACCACAGGCACTTACTGCAGTCATTCCAACTGAGCTTACTCTGAAAAGGCATCTAAGTAGGCTGTTGGCTGGAATGATGAATCTTAGCTGTTACAGCTACATTATATACAGTTATACAAGTTCACATTTATTGTGTGTTTACAGAGCATGGCCTCTTCCATAACTAATACTATTTTCACAGACCTTCCAAGGAGCTGCTATGATTCAAAACTTTATTAATCAGAAAGGAAAGACACTGAGGCACAGAGTGGTTATAAGGGAAGAAGCAGGCTTGAAGCCAAGTCTCACCACTGTACTCTGACACCTTTCCCATTACTCCTGACTGGCTGAGCTCTTCTGCACGTGCATATCATCACAGGATGTTTTTATTAGTAAGAAAAAAGCCAAAACCTTTCCAAAGCTTCTGTGCTGCCCTTGATCCTGTACAAGTGGCTTTTAAGGAATCAGGTGTATGGCAGTTGAACCCATACATGGGGCTTTCCAGGTATTTCAGGAGAAGGTTTGATGCTTTGCTGCATGGTGAAGAACTACAGGATAAGAATTGTTTAGGGAATGAAAAGGTCAAAATCTAAGAAGATAGACATGAAAGACTGGAGTTGGCTGAGGAAAGAGAACTAAGAAGAAAGGCTATGTTGGGCTCAGCTTTCATTTCCAAGGTTCCCCTGGGTGTAAAATGAGCTATCAATGTATTCACAGCTTTATTATGTTCAATATACCTGTTCAGTTAAGATGCCCACATTCAAATGTAAGGCAGAAATGCACGTACTAGACTTTTCTCTTCATTCCTTTAGAATTAGGGAAGTGTATTTTCCAATATGGCTGTGAGGCTGCTCTATAGGTCTTTGCAGACTGCCTCCCTACAACATTAATACAAGAGTATGTTGTGTTAAGACAAAAAATAAAGGAGTATCTATAGGTAAGGACCATGTCCTTTTTCTTCCCTTGTTCCCAGGGCAGTGGGCATCCAGCCAGTAAGTATACAACTTCCTAGTTTTGATATATGTGTGACTTGATGTTGGTGCTTTCTGAATTTATTCTCTTATTTATCTTATAAAAGAAAACATGTTTTCGTCTTTGAAGAGTTTGGATTAAAATTGGATTAAGATTGGAGTTCTAGAAACCGTATTTGTGGACTTGAGTAACATCTCACTGGATTTCATTTTCTTTAGTTGCAAAGCCCCAGGAAGGGTTGGTTTTGCTTCTCTCCCTTGGAGTCCTCGGTGATGGTCTGGCCCTGAAGCCTTATTGCTTCACATTCTGTGGTCGGCACAATTGGCCTTGGATAGATAGAGAAGTTGCATCAACGCCTGTCCATGAAAATCTGTCCACAGAGAGATGTTTTGGTTCATTTGACAAACAAAATTGTTTCCTCTTTGTTTACATTATTACTGACATGAATAGATCCTTTTGGAGTTTATTGATTTCTAGTTATGTGGTATAAAACTTAGTTGGAGGGCTTCTCTGTGTGTGCTACTGCTGCTCTCAAATCTGATTGGACTATGGCTCTCCAGGCCACATTCTCAGAGACCTTCCCTGACCCCAGAGGAAATAGCACTGTGCTGTTTTCTGTCTCTGGAACCTAATTTCATTTTCTTTTTAGTGCTCAGCATCCCATAATATTAAACAAAATCTATTTTCTGTCTCCTCCCGTAAGTGCAAGCTTCATTTGGAATGGACTTTGCCTAATTCCCTTTGGCATCCTTAGCACCTGGTATATTATTTGACACAGTCTAGAGGTTCAATAGCTACTGGATGATCCTTATATAACTTACAGTCCACAAGGATGACAATAAGGGTGTGTTTTGAGTGGAGTGGTTATCACCCCACATCTCTGTAAAGCACTTGAGAAGGTGGAAGTCATTGATATTTCAGGGCCATTTGAAAGGAGGGCTGCGTATAAGAGATACCAAGACCACTCTCCTGACTTGTAGATATGCGAGGACGCACAGAATCAGCATACTCATAGTTTATATGTATTTCAGCATCAAGTAGGAAGCAAAATCAGTAAATAAAAAAGGCTTCAGAGTAAAGTCTTGAGGACAGTATGTCAATCTCTGAGAATGCTTTACCAGTGAAGTCACACAGGGAGTGTGTAAATATCCAGAAAGTTGTGACAACACCTGTAAAGTATTTTTTTTTTTTTTTTTTTTTACCAAGGAAGCTATTCGATGCTGAGCCCAGGTTTTTTTTTTTGGTGACAGGGGTGAGGGGCAGGGGGAAGGTTAGACAGGTGTGTACCCTCTATAGGATGTTCCAAAATCTCAGACTTCCAAGAGTGAAAGCAAGTGTCTCACATAACCATATTGATTGTACAAACAGTTTTAGATCCAGTGAGCCAATCTGATCTTATAAGAACGGTTTAGAAAATTGTTCAACGGCCAAGTTCCCAAATGTCAGGCAATGTCACCAATGTCACAGCAGATCTGTGTAAGGAAAAGCAGTCTGTTATCTCCTCTTAACTCTTTCCTGAATGAAGATGAAGAAGATAAAGCAATTAGAGGATTCGCTCATATGAATATTAGAGGGAAGGGCATTCCTGATGGTGGAACACTCCAGAACAAAGGGAGTGAGTTTGGGGTGAGCCTGGCATGTCTGAAGGTATGAAGTGGCTGGAGCAGATGGTGGGAGGAGAACAGTGATAGATTGTTAGGCTCCATGGTGAGAGCTGGTTTCTAGGCGTAACGACCCCCAGCGCCACGCAATTTGGTCTCATCGAGCTTTCAGAGATAATGATGGGGACGCAGCAAGCACTCCCTGGGCCCCTG